CAACCCACCCCCCACAATCTTTAAAATAGGGAGGGGGGGGGGGGGGGGGGGGGGGGGACCTATGATGTTGGTTTTAGCATCTCTGGGCTCAGCATACAACTTAAAGCAAACCACTCTGAAACAAACCAGCTATTTTAAACTGCATGTAAGAATGCAGTACTGAGAATCTATATTTTTGTGCAAACTCCATCTGGAGGGTAAAATGTGAACTACTTAGTTCCTCTATGCTGATTTTCAGTGTTATGTATGTTAGCATTATTTATATAAAATTACAGTTTTGCTCATATTTTTATATTTTAATTTCAGTTTAATTTTTAGTAATTTTTTAGTAAAACTTTTTATTAGTTTTTTTTATTTTACTAATTTAATTTATTTTTATTTTAGTTTAATTTCAATTAGTAGAATTATGCACACAAATCTGTGTGGTTTACTCACGTATCTCTTCCACCACCTCTGGATCACATTCTTTGTACTTCTCCAGTTCGGCCTTTAGCTGATCTCTCTGATGTTTCGATGCTGGGAGCTCCTTCAGGAGATCTCTTCTAAATACACACAAAAGCAATGGTCAGACAGAGCCCACAGACATTAGAGCTGTACAGTGATGTAGTTCAGAGACAAGTGAACACACACATTAACTTCACGTCCCACTTTGGCTTTATCAACTGCTTGCTGAAGGGCTTTTTTGCGCTGATTCCCATCCTCATGCTACACAGAAAAAAAAGAAATCAATACATTTATGCAAAGTCTCTTGTCTCGTCCTCAGAACAGATTTCCCTGCTTGACACATTACATATGATTATATATATATTTTGATCTTCTTGTTTTCATTATCAGTAATGTACAATAAGGTGTTATGTGTTGCATATCTGTTCTGTTCAACTCTTGCATTATTATAACTCTTGTATTATTATCTTCTATTGTTATAGTTAAATTATGTCAATACATTTTAAGGTAAGCAGATTTTGTTAGTTCAAGTAAATTGGTATATTAAAAAGAATACTTCACCTAAAAAAAAAAATTGATGAAAATTGACTCACACTCAGGCCAAAGAAGATGTAGATGAATTTGTTTCTTTATCATGGGTGCCAAAGGAAAAAGCAACATTATGGAAAGAGGACTTGTAATTCAGGCAGAAGCAACGATTTGAAGTAAAAAAAAAAAACTTAATGTTTGTATTAAACATGCATCTTTTTACTTCACAAGACGTTACTTTTTGCACTGGAGTCATGCCAGTTACTTGTTGATTTATTGTGATGTTTTTATCAGCTGTTTGGACTCATTCTGACGGCACCCATTCACTGCAGAGGATCCATTGGTAAGCAAGTGATGTAAGTTTTTCTAAATCTGTTCCGATGAAAAACAAACATATCTACACGTTGGATGCCCTGAGGGTGAGTACATTTTCAGATAATGTTTATTTTTTAATGAGTTAAATACATTGTAGCATTTGTAGACATCAATATGCCATCCAATAATACACAAAATAATGATCTTTAAAAAAGCATCACATGACCCCTTTAAGTTTAATCTCTGGCAACCAAAGCTGCCTTTTTTGACCATAAATCTAACAGTTTTATTTTACAAGTCAACTATCAGAAATGCAGTGTCAGACAAATAGAGATGCCCTCACTTGTCTCTCCAGTTCCTCTAATCTGCATTTACGGGCGTGCAGGGCTTTACTAGGAAACGCCCAGTAATAGTTAGAGATGCCCACCCTCTCGGTGTCCACCATGTTATCATCCACCAGACTCTGCAACACCTCTTTCACTGACATGGAAGCTGATAAAAAAGATTAAACAAATTCTCTAGTAAGCATTATGTCAGTGAACATATCTTCAAAACTCAATGTGCGAGAAAACTGTCACATGCACTTTCAGGCCAGTGTTGCAGTGCAACTTCTAATTTGAGATTCACTGATGTACTTGTACGTGCATTTTTACGCCTTGCAAAAATAAGCATTTGGTTGTCTGTGGTGTTTTGATATTACAAAATATTGTATAAAATAGATGATGCTTTGTCGAAATCTGTTTTGCATCACATGAGTGTATAAAAATAAAATATGGCTGTATGATTTCTCACTTCTCGCTGTTCTTTATTGTAATGGAAAAAAGAGGTTTTAAGACTGACAACTGCTGTTTGCGGATACCATAGAAATGAATAAGTACAACAGAAATTAATAAGTCATAAAAGGAATATTATCCATCGCAATATTTTTTTTTGTGAACTCCAAACATAGTTTACCTCCTAAATAGCTATTAAATAGCAAATACACTGAAGTTTATAGTGGACAGGTTGTTGCAAATAAGCCATTTACTTAAAAAATAGCTTATGCAGCACACAGAAGCCTCTCCTCCATTGAAATCCAATTTAAAAACTGTTTCTTGTCTCCTAGCCAATGCCCTACTGTTTTTTCTTAACCCTGGATGCTTGTCTTAAAGGGCTCTGAGATGTATGTGCTGATAATCTTATGTCCCAAAGTTTGAGATAATATCAAACTACTAGAGACTACTGTGTCCGACATGGACACAATCGCACATAAGCTAAATGGATAAGAATAAGAATCTGAAAACATGCATACTTACAGTTTCAAAACATATTTCCATCATACGACTTCTTTTCTCTTTTCAAGCTAAGCTGTTTTGCATCACATGAGTGTATAAAAATAAAATATGGCTGTATGATTTCTCACTTCTCGCTGTTCTTTATTGTAATGGAAAAAAGAGGTTTTAAGACTGACAACTGCTGTTTGCGGATACCATAGAAATGAATAAGTACAACAGAAATTAATAAGTCATAAAAGGAATATTATCCATCGCAATATTTTTTTTTGTGAACTCCAAACATAGTTTACCTCCTAAATAGCTATTAAATAGCAAATACACTGAAGTTTATAGTGGACAGGTTGTTGCAAATAAGCCATTTACTTAAAAAATAGCTTATGCAGCACACAGAAGCCTCTCCTCCATTGAAATCCAATTTAAAAACTGTTTCTTGTCTCCTAGCCAATGCCCTACTGTTTTTTCTTAACCCTGGATGCTTGTCTTAAAGGGCTCTGAGATGTATGTGCTGATAAACACAGCCATTTATGGGTTTTTTTAAAGGTTATGCCAGTTTATTTCTTTATTATTATTATTTCATCCAACAAGCCAAACATTTCAGCATCATTATTAAATACTTATAAAGCTCTAGGGCAGAACTTTTCTGAATTTCAGGTCAACAGGCCTGCTTTCCTGGCTATTTATACAACTAGGTTAGTCATATTGGCACCTCGTCTGGAAATCCTCAACTTTCAATCCAAATCAAACAGGCAAGGTTCAGTTTTCTGATGATTACCATTACACACGTTCTATAAAAAATGTGCAGGGTCACTTAGAGCTCCCTCTATCTGTGACATTGGCTTATCTGTGTCAGGAGCATAAACTAAAAATCACTACAGGTTGATAAAACTTACTGATTCCTCTGGATTTGGGGGCAATTTTTTCTATGTCTTTCAGCTGAAACGCATCTTTCTGGAAGGGGAACAATAATCTTAATTAATCTTATGTCCCAAAGTTTGAGATAATATCAAACTACTAGAGACTACTGTGTCCGACATGGACACAATCGCACATAAGCTAAATGGATAAGAATAAGAATCTGAAAACATGCATACTTACAGTTTCAAAACATATTTCCATCATACGACTTCTTTTCTCTTTTCAAGCTAATTCCTTTCTTTTTAGACTGTGGAGTAAAAAAGATAACCCCTTTGTATTAATAAGATGAATACAGTTCTGCATTTTTCTGTATTAAATAAATAACATAAAACTAATTCAGCTGTCATGATTAAATAGGCGTGGCATTTTTATATTTTATTAACCCTTCAGTAGGGTTTTTCAGAAAAAAAAATGGAACTAGTGGCAAAAAATTCTCGGATATATTCTTTCAGACTGTTTGTTTCAATAAACTGATTCAAAAAATTATTTAGCTCAAATCTATGGAGGACTGAACCGCCAAAATGTAATTAATTCATTAATTTATTAATGAAATAGGAATATAAATAAATAGGGGAAAAAATGATTTGGTGAAACAAATGCAATTCATTTTTAATCAAATTTAGTCCAGAATTTATTTTTGTATTACTTTTTCACCCTTTATAATTGTCTTTATTTTTATTCTTTCATTTTCTTTTTCTTGTTTTTATTTATATTTAGTTATTTAGACATTTGTTTATTTTTATTTCCACATGTATTTATTCTCACATTTAAATATTGCCACATTTATTTATTTCAACTTTTGTTTATTATATTATTTATTTTTACATTTCTGTCTCTTGTATGATAATTAGACTGCTTCATACCAAAATTCTAATAGTTTAAGAGGATTTTCAGGGTGACTGACTTTAATATTATCTGATTTTATTGCCCCTCATAAACACGAGTGTGTTAATAAAAGGTTGCAAAAGTTGCAAACACATTTTTTTTTTTTATTTACCTCATGCTGTTGTCAGAACACAGAAGTAATGTTTTTTTTTTTTTTTAAATAGATTGAAAGTTGATTACATATTTTATTCTATATGAAGTATTGAATTATGGTCTGAGGACAGGGGTTTATAGATGTAATGAGTGGCATCATGTAATATCATCATGTTGATAAATTCATTTTAAATTAAATTGTTTGTGTTAAGAACATTCCAGTGATCTGAATGCTCAGTCATCGTCTTATTTGCAATAGTGTCTTTTGAACTAATTGATTCTTTTAATTTAATAATGTCGTAAACTTTTCTCCACAGCCCCGTTAACATAATACAAATATTTTTAGAGCAGAGTGTTACAGATCTCAGCACAATCTAGAATTATTAAACTTGTTTAACACATTTCTGCAAACCTTAGTGTGGTTATTTTATACAAGCGACATTCTCTAAAAACGGTAACAGAAGTAGCAGAATTATTAAATACAGAAATCATGTTCTCACCATGTTTGAGTTTGGCGCGAGATGCGGAGGAGGAAATGTCACTGCGCATGCGCGGCACTTCCTTTCTTCTCTGATCTGAGGACGTGGTAGATTCGCAAAAATGATACTTTAGTTTGGCGTAGTACTGAAAATATTCAATTATACTTTAGTTTGGCGTAGTACTGAAAATATTCATTATTTCGTTTTTTATAAATGTATTAGCATTTAGTGTAGCTACATTATATGGCCTTCATTTAATGACTGCGTTGCCATGCAAAAACAACATCGGATTTTAAGACTTAAGAGAATGAAGGTCTACCAGTAAGAGTAGTAAAAGTGGAACAAATAGAAATCCCCCCAAAGTATTTAAAGAATTAGCTCCTCTACGTTTGCAGGTTTTTAGAGGAGGTTGTAGAAGCTGATGTTATACTGCCCCCTCTGATATAGGCTAGCACTAAACAGATGAAGCTATTTTTACAGAATGTGTGTACATTTACAAATCCCACTATGGTAAGACCTTCTGAATGTTCATGACTCAATCCTTTGCCATGTATGTTACTTGTAAGGCGATATATTATATTTACATATAGGCTACATTCTCTGAGTAGAAGAAGACATAACATATATAGAAGATATAGAATCCCCATAGTAAAATGTGTACAGAAGTACGCAATATATATTTTATTTATAGAAACAAAAAACAACATTGACGAGTTCCAATGCAAAAGCCTCTAAAAGCCATCTTGGTCAAAAATGAGATAACAATACTGAGTGAATGCTCTCTGCATTTAGTATATGTTCATCAAGTACTTTCACTTCAAATGTGCTAAATCCCAGCCTTAACCCATTCAGAAGTACCAGTACTTACATAGAAACCTATACATAGTAGCCAGAAAGAAATGCTCATTTTAAAGATAAACGTCAGACGTACTTAGAGGCTTTTGCATCTGAACTCTTCATATAAACAAAAAATATGTATGTTTATAAATGCTTTTGACATTTTCTTTTAAATACATGTCTGTTTACTTTAGTAATACACTCTAAAAAAAATGCTGGGTTAAATACAACCCAGTGCTGGGTTAAATAGGGACAAACCCAGCAATTGGGTTGTTTTGACCCAGCGGTTGGGTTACTATCCAGAAGGTTGGGTTAAACATTTAACCCAACCGCTGGGTCAAAACAGCCCAATTGCTGGGTTTGTCCCTATTATACCCAGCACTGGGTTGTATTTAACCCAGCATTTTTTAGAGTGTATCATCATGTCAGGTTTGTAGGATGGATATGCATGACATACTGTATATAACCAAAAATGCATTACACATACATAAACATACATATTTTGGTCCAGTTTCTAATAGTTTTTTTTTTACCTCATATGACAAGATATTTCATATATGGAAATGTAATGTAGGCCTACAAACATTACATTTGCATTTGGGGTTATTTAATAAATTTTTGCAATATTTTCAGTACTGTTACCAAAACCCTAGACCAGTTTTGAATAAAATTATAATTTAATGCTGTGATTTATTTGTTTTTTTGGTTCTGTTATTTTCTTGCAGTAAACTTTAAATAAATATTTTAGACCCATTTAGACACATCAGACACATTTTCATGTTAGATAATAGTTTATCAAACATATCTAATATTTCTCTTCTATATTATATTTATACTCCCCTTGTGAAAGATAGATAAATTATTTAAACATTTTGTCTCATAATAATGATCAGATATTTGTGCCATCAGCATCAGCTTCTTAATGCAAACATCTATATTCATACTCCACTTAAACATATAGTGACAAAGTTATTTTTGTATCAACATTTTTAAGCGCTGTGAAAGTACACAACTGTTTTGACTGTGACAGCTGTAGCAGTACACTTTCAAACACTTTACGTACATTCTCTTCCTACTTCAGCCTGTTTAAATTCTTTGAGTTTAAAGCTGCCTCTGTTTACTCAGCTCTTTTTGCACTTCTCTTTTTTTCCTCTGGTTTTTGGTTAGGTCACATACCATATATGCAGGAATGTGTTTTCACAGCTAACTGAGGAACAGCTTGTCTTGTGGTAACAAGCTCACTGCTTGATTGCATCACATCCGAGGGAGAGAACGAGAGGGTGGTGTTTTTTGTTTTTTTTCGTAGGTAGGTGAATCAGGTCTGAAAGAGGAAGCAGGATGTCATGAAGGCGTGTTAGCCACCAGTCACTATGCAATGAGTCTGTGTCTCTGTCTACCCAAAGAGTGGGCCATCGCTTCCACCGAGGACTCTGGGAAATGAATCTTATACTATTCCTGCTTTTGGCATTGACAGCAAGCTGGACTGGACTTGGTAGGTGCTCACGGTAGTAGATCATTTTTTTTCTCTATGCAGGATCCTATCTCTCTCTTTCCTGTTTTCCCCATTCATCTAAAGAAACTCTCTTCTGTCCTGTCTGCTCTCTTCTTCATGGTCCTTTGAAATCATTTTACACTGTAATTGACCCCTAGGCAACACAACAGTTGCGGAGTCGTTTGGAATTGATGTGTGCTTTTAGAACACATTCAAATGACCCGTCATATCTTTTGACCACAATGGACAATGAAGAAAGTTGGAGACAGGATGGTCACATTACATTATAACTAGTTCTTTGACTCATTTTGTTGCTTTTGGTTTTATGCAAAACACAAAACAGCTCGTCTTTGTTGACGAACAAAGATAATGTTGACTCGGGAGGACGAAAGTTTCTTTCTCTTGGTTTGCGCCAATAATTTCCTCGTAAGTGATTATTAGTTTCCTCCTTTTTACCTCTTACAGCTGAATATGAATTTTGATATTCATTATTATGTTATGAAAATTATGTTTTAAGATGTTGAGTAACACTTTACAGAGACTTACAGTCAATTTAAATATATAGAATTAATAGTATACGTATAAATTACAGTAAGATGATTTTGGTAGCATTCCACAGTGAGGTTCTATGTATTAACATTAGTTAATTCAATAGCTAACATGAAATAAACAACACTTTTACAGCATTTACTAATCTTGGTTAATGTTAATTTCTACATATACATAACATATTTTAAACAAATCAGCATTAACATTAAATAACGTGTAATGAACAATTAACAAGGTGGTATACTATATATGTATATGCATAATTAACAGTATAAATATGAAATGAATCATTAATTAAACATTAAACAAACCTATAGTAATAAACCGTGTGAAAGTATTATTCTGTATTATAAAAAGAGGACAAGTAATGTTTCTAATCTCTCTTTGGTACATTTGGCTGACTGATTCTCAGATAACATCTTTCTTCTGAACTGAAACAGGCCTCAACTAAACCTGAGTATAAAAATCTAGATGAAGGTTCTTTTTTAAAGTCACTTCTTAAATGTGTAAAGTAATTTAGTTGCATGTCATTACAGTTCGATGTGAAGACAACGAAGAAACGAAGCAGGAGATTGCCCTTAATGACTCCCGTGAGTATCTGCTTTAGCACACCTAATTTTTATTTGATGTGATGTAGACGTCAGACAGTGGCTTTAGTCCTGAGTGACTGATGTTCCAAGCACTGACTTCTGTAATCGACTTTCTTGTGGTCTCTGCCATGGAACTAAAATGTAATTTAAGTTTGAAGCAATATTTTGTACATTATGTCTGCCACAGTTTTTGTTGATTTAAAGAAACAACATATGTGCACTCACTTCTACTCATAAATCTGATCTGTTTATACATTTAACAGTATTATTAACTTACGAAGCAGTGGTCGAAGAAGAAAACTCAGGTAAGAATTGGTGGTTA